GAACAGTGCATGCCACATATTAGCTGTAGTGAATCGCTGTCATCATTCAGGGCTGGAGTGGTCAGGAAGGGCTTGACAAATGAAGGGACTTCTGATGGGCAGACAGGCGTGAGATGATTCAAGTCATGGGCTGAAAAGACTGACACATTTAAAAAGAGGGAGAGAGTGAAATTTTTAGCAAAAATGAGGTTTGTGATTTTGGTCAAGAGAAAGTAAGCACAAATGTATATGATGGCTGCGGCCCAGCAGGTGGGACACACATCCTTCTCAGTCCACCCTCATCCTGGGGGCCCCCTCTCATTGCCACAGCATTCCTGGGGGCCCTGTGCCTACCTGGGAATACCAGAAGCCATGTGACTCACTCAGAGCCTCTCCTCAGGGCACTGGGTCATTCCCCAGTCACCAAAATTAAGACTACATATGTCATTGATTACAATGCAGTAGTCAGGGTTTTGTTGCTGTTGCTTTAATGATAAAGCAAAATAACTTAGGGCAAATCTGCTCTGAGTTAGGCCCCAGATGACAGGGGTATTATTTTGTTAGGAATATTTAAACGGAAGCGTTAGAGAATCACTCAGGGTGGGGGTGTTGCTGTGAACCCCTAGCACCCAGCCTCTTTACTTGACTGTTCCCCAGTCACCTCCAGAGCTGAAAGAGGACATAGCCCTTTTCCACCGCATAGGACATGTGAGCACAAACCTATTTTTCACCAGTGCCCTGGTGCATTGGGAACAGCTCAGCCATCTGCCACCAATGCCAGGGGCTTAATCAGAGCAGATGAATTCCACGCCAGATGCACTGAGATGTGTGAGCCTCCTAGGAGAGACACGTCACAGACCTGTCTGTAATGGTTAAATCATAACAGAGTTCCCCATTCTGTCTCTATCTTGGGCCACCCCAAGAGGCGAAACTGTCTGCTTGGTTTCTTGCTTTGTACCTGTGGATGGAAGACTTAAGAATCTGGCAGGTGAATAGAAATCAGAGTCTTTGTCTCAGCCTCTGAAGATTGCTATGGTATCGATCTTGCTCACGAGGCAGATACTGCCTGTTAGGTAAACCTTTGGGGTGTTTGTGTGTTTCTTGGCACCAAGTGTTGATTCCGCAGCTGGATGAAGACCCTTGAGGTCTGGAATGGCTGTGAGGCATCTGTCTATTTCAGTACTTTTCAAATGTTGCTGCGCATTAGAATCAACTGGGAGATTTTAAAAATTCCATCGCCGGACTGCACCCCAGACCAATTAAATCAGAATCTCCAGAGATAAAGCTTAAGCAGCTAAGTTTCTAAAGATCCCCCAGATGATTGGACTGTGCAGACAAATTTAAGAACCACTGGTCTAGATCCTATGCCAGCTCTTGGGTGGAAAAAGACCAGTGGTGAGCCATCGTGGCTGTGGCTGGCTGGCTGGCCTATTTCGGGAGGTGATTCACTCGGCCCATGGGTCATATCTTGTCTGCCAGATTTTTTGTGGGCAATAGCCATCCCAGACCCAGCTTCTGACATTCCATGTCTGTGACATTCGTGGTGTTGGCTACACACGGGGCTCCTGGCACTCCCAGACAGGGCTCCCCATCACCAGCCAGAGGGCCAGGCCTCAGAATGGTGAGGTCAGGGCTGCTGTCTTGCATCAGCCCTGGAAGGCGGAGGTGCCTGTGGCCCCTTTCGTCACTTCCCTGGGTTTGTGGTGGGAAAGGGAGAGCTAGATGAGTCTATCTGCTGAAGAAAAGGGGAACAGGAAGAAGAAACCCTAGGCTCAGGCAGCTTTGCTTCTCACCGTATTCAAAACCAAGCCTCTGAAAGCCCTGGCACAGCTGCCTTTTCTTACGGGGAAATGGCTCCAGCTTCATTGGAAACTATGAAAGGAGATCTTCCAGGAGCTTCTAGATTTATTTATTTATTTTTGAGATGAAGTTTTCTCTCTTGTTGCCCAGGCTAGAGTGCAATGGCACAATCTCGGCTCACTGCAATCTCTGCTTCCCAGATTCTAGCAATTCTCTTGCCTCAGCTGGCAATCCCGAGTAGCTGGGATTATAGGCACGAGCCATCACACCCAGCTAATTTTATATTTTTAGTAGAGATGGGGTTTCTCCATGTTGGTCAGGCTCCTAACCTCAGGTGATCTGCCCATCTTGGCCTCCCAAAGTGCTGGAATTACATGCATGAGCCACCGTGCCCAGCCGCTTCTAAAATTTTCTTTCTACCTCTTCTTTTTTATAGACAAGTATGAGAAAGCTATTAGCTCCTGAGGAGCAACAGCCTATGTGCTTCAGAGAGAGTGGAGTGTATAATAGTAATCAGACAACGGTGTTTTTCCAACTGGAAGCTTCCAGAGGGAAGGTGGGATGGGGGTAAGGCCAGGGCCAGGCACACCTGGTGCCACAGACACGTGTTCAGCTGGCGAGGACTGAGGCTGGGAAGCTTTGGGAGCTACCCAAGGGAAGGGATGGGGAATGAGAGGCTTCATTGTGAGAGTCCCTGGGTTAACGGGCTGACAGTGAATGAAGAGAGTCTATGAGGCTCACACTACTTCCTACTCACCTCCAGCAAGTGGCCAGGGCTGCTTGCCCTTGTGTGGTCTGCAACAGAATCAAGGTTCAGTTCCAGAGACCTGGGAAGACACACAGGAGAAGGCTGGGCCCTGCTTCTTGGTGGCTGCATCTCACTCAAGTTAGGAAGTTCTTCCTTCCCACCATCACAGGTGACACCATCACAGGTGACATGGTGCCTCTGGGGCCTGACCCACGGCTTAGACATATCTTAGATGAGCATTTCACAGATCAGGTAACTTACAGGCCTTGGTTTAACAGCTGCTCATCCCAGCCCTGCAGCATGGAGTTTCAATGATCACTATGGGTGTGGCAGGCCAGCCCCTTCAGCAAAAGATGCTGTCCCATGGTGGCTACATGGTGAATTGAGAACATGGGCTTTAGACTTGATTCCAGTTCCTGCTTAGCCACTTACTAGCAGGTGACCATAGGCATGTTTCTTAACCTCTCTGAGCCTGTTTTGTAATCTGTAAAATAAGAATGACATACATAGTATGTAAGAGACTGTATGTGAAAGTACCCAGCACAGACTCTTATTAATAGATTAGGAGTCCTGGGGAAGAGTACAAAGGAGCAACAGGCCAGAGAATGATGCCATGATGGAAAGAGGACATCAGAAGCTGGCACGGTGGCTCACACTTGTAATCCCAGCACTTTGGGAGGCAGAGGTGGCTGGATCACTTGAGGTCAGGAGTTTGAGGCCAGCCTGGCCAATATAGTGAAACCTCATCTCTGCTAGAAATACAAAAATTAGCTGGGTGTGGTGGTGCACACCTGTAATCCCAGCTATTTGGGAAGCTGAGGCAGGAGAATCACTTGAACCCGGGAGGTGGAGGTTGCAGTGAGCTTAGATTGTGCCACTGCACTCCAGCCTTGGTGACAGAGGGAGACTCCGTCTCAAAAAAAAAAAAAGAGGATGTCAGCTGTGCTGAGCTGAGGGGTTGGAGGCGGGAGGCTGGAGCCATGCCAGCTCCTCTTGACAGCCAGAGCCTGATGTTGTATCGGTTCTGTGGGGATTGGAAAGTGTGAGAAGGAAGTGATGGCAGGTTGTCAGGGTGGTGTGTCTCTCACACGGCTTGCTGAAGGGAGGAAGGTAGGGCAAAGCTCTGTCACGGGGGCCCCGTTGTGTCCTGCGGGGTGGTGGTATGATGTCACAGCAGCTTTGAAATTCCCCAGCGAAACCCAAACACCCACAGGACAGTGTCAGATGGTGTTAGAGTCATCCCTCTCTGGGCCTCAGTTTCCTCATTTGCTGAAAAAGAATCCTGATCCACCCCAAGTCTGCTATACTTCTAATATCAGGCAAATTCTGGGTGGGTTCCGACCAACCTGTTCCAACACTCCCAGCCACTCAGGGACAGTGTGAAGATAAAACCGGGAAGTGGGTAACAGTGAATATGAGGGAGATCCAGAGAACTGACTGAGGGACAGTGGCTTTGACCCCAGAATTCACCCCTGTACTCTCTCTACAAGGTGAGGGCACTGACCTCCATCTCCTCAACTTCATTCTTCACTTATCCTTCCCAGGGGGTGGGAGGAGGAGGCATCTGGGAACATATGAGGAGAATGAACACGTGGTCTCACAGAAGGACTTCAACAGGACAGACCTGGAATTTCTGTTTCGTTCTGTACACACTCTTAGCCTCAATAGTCTCACCTGTAAGATAGGGTAAGATGGGGTCTATCTTAATAAACGATCTTGCAGACTTCTGGTTTGTGAGACTCAAATGAGAGAATGTATGCCAAGTACTTGGCACAGGGGAGGTGCTAAGTAAATGCTGGGTGTCCCTGTGCTCAGTAGCGGTTTGTTTCCTCTGTTATGGTGGAGGGCTCCACCCCTTCATCCCTGCCAGTTCACTCATTCATTTGACAAATAGATACTTACTTCTTGCTATGTGAAAAGCACTGCGGCAAGTGATGTGGGGCCTGAACTGGCGTCCATGTGTCCTTGGTCCTTTAGATCTAAAAGGATTCTTGTCCTTCCCATCAGCAGCATATACTGGCATCACGGGTAGATGCCTGTCCCTCCAGCTGTGTTGGTACTTCCTTGAGGAGACAGCATGGCTTGTATTTCTTTGCATCTCCCACAGCATCAAAGAAGCATCTTTTAGCAACCCTTCGTAAGCAAATGCAGCTCTGCTTGTTCACCAGATTCACAGTCAGTGCCTGAGTGCCAGACACTTTCACACTTAAGACAAGCAGTTATTGTTCCCATTTCACAGATGGGGAGATTGAGGCTTAGAGAAATCTGAGTTACTTTCCCAGGAGAGTCAGCTAGATGCTGGCACAGCTGCAATTTGACCTCTCATTGTCTCACTCTGAGTCCGTGCAGTTAGTTCAACTCTGCAGGGCTGGTGCTCACTTCTTGGTTAGAGAGGCTTTGGGGAGGGCGTGGTCATTCCCTTTCTCACCCTGAGAACCACTGCACCCCCACTTCCACTCTGTGTCTGTTCTAGAATGTCTGTAAACCTGTGGAGGAGACACAGCGTCCACCCACACTGCAGGAAATCAAGCAGAAGATCGACAGCTACAACACGCGAGAGAAGAACTGCCTGGGCATGAAGCTGGTGAGCCCCCCCTCACCGCCCCCACTCCACCACCTGCTTAGGGTTTGGCACCTCTGCCCGCCCTCTAAATTCTGTGGCTACTGCCTGGCAGGTCCTCCCTTTCCTCCAGCCTCTAGAGGCCTCAGGGGTCTGGAAGCCAGGGCCCTCAGTGCCTTCCACGTGCTTTACGGAAATAGATCTGACCCTTTCGTTTTTTGCTTGTGTCTTTGGGAAGCTCTCTTAACTTCTCTGAGCTTCGACGTAAACTAAGTGATTAAATGATATACAGTGACCAAGGGCCTGGTACAGCGTGGCCCCCAGGAAGCCAGGACAATAGGACTCAGCTGCTTCCCTTCCTACCCCTTCGATTGTGCAGTGCTCAGAGACGAGAGGGCACAGAACTTCGTACCTGGTTGGGAAAGGAAGGGAGAAGGTAGAAAAACACTGCCCCCTGCTGGTGGCTGGCACCAACTGGCTCTTCAGGGTTTAGCCAGATGGGGCACCAGAAAATCCAGTCACAGATGGTCCTGGGTTTAAGTCTTAAAGGCTGTTTCTTAGTAAAGAGACGCAGGAGGAAACCTAGTGGGCTGGTTCTCCAAGGCCGTCATTATAGAACCTTCCTGCTTCCTGCCTGGCTCAGAGGTACACACTAGAGTGGCTACCTTACACCCTGCCTCTTACAGTGGGGACTCACCAAAGGCAACTGGTGTCTGCCTGGGTGCAGGAGGTTTGGGGGAGCTGGTCTGAGCCTCCTAGGAGGGAAAGCCACTGCAGCCCCACAGGTCTCCGTAGTTGGATCCTGAGGGTCTTCTCCCAGCCCACTGTGGGGAAAGGGATCTCTGCTCCTTCCTCTAGCTCTCCCAGGTCAGTAGAGGCAGGAAAGAACTCAAGGAGACAGATGGGTGTTGCTGGGGCAATGGCCCCAAGTGGCAGGTATGATCATGCAAGGCGGATAGCCCTGACCCCACATGACATGTCCCCGCTGGCAGAGTGAAGACGGCACCTACACGGGTTTCATCAAAGTGCATCTGAAGCTCCGGCGGCCTGTGACGGTGCCTGCTGGGATCCGGCCCCCATCCATCTATGACGCCATCAAGGAGGTGAACCTGGCAGCCGCCACGGACAAGCGGACATCCTTCTACCTGCCCCTCGATGCCATCAAGCAGCTGCACATCAGCAGCACCACCACTGTCAGTGAGGTCATCCAGGGGCTGCTCAAGAAGTTCATGGTCGTGGACAATCCCCAGAAGTTTGCACTTTTTAAACGGATACATAAGGATGGACAAGGTAGGAGAAAGTGCACCCGACCAGACCATTCCCTTCCTACCTGTGTGCAAGCCCACCCACTAAAACTCCTACCGGCCTTGGATAGGAGCTGTAGGCTTCTCCTGAGCACCAGGGGTCCAGCTGCCCATATGGTGTTCAGATCTGTGGAATCCGGGCAGGGAGGCAAGAGCAGAGAGCTTGATAGGGCAGCTTACTTGGCTCACTATGTCCCTGACTCTGCTGGTGGCTTCAGGAAGACTGCACCCTAGGCTCCCATTTCCTGTTCTGTGCAATGGGAGGAATCTGCCCACCATTCCTAATCTTTCAGGAGATGATGTGAAGGGAATCATGCTTTAAACTGAGCAGACACCCAAGATAAAAGGTTATTACCCTGTTTGTTATTGTCATGTCCATTTCATGAAAAGGCCCCTATATCTACTTCCAGTTATAAGTACCCCACCTCTGTGTTTCCAGTCCTTTCCCCAAGCCTGGGCCCCGCGCTCCTTTTCTGGGATGAGCTCCCAGCCCCGTCTCTTGGTTTGCAGTTCTCTTCCAGAAACTCTCAATTGCTGACTGCCCCCTCTACCTGCGCCTGCTCGCTGGGCCTGACACGGAGGTCCTCAGCTTTGTGCTAAAGGAGAATGAAACCGGAGAGGTGGAGGTAGGTCTGGGCCCCTTGTGCAAACCCAGCCCTCAGGGCACCTTGGGTGGGTGCAGGTGGGTGTTGCCCTATGCAACAGGGTCAGGAAGATGACTGTTGAGAAAGTAAGCAGGGGTGGGTGACGGGGCTGGGGTCAGTGTTTCAGCCAGGCCTCTGAGCACCCTGGAGTAGCATGTTAGGGCCTGTGTGTGGCAAGGCCTGTGGAAAGAAAGGATTTCATGTGTTTTATTTCTGAAAACTCCGCGAGGAGGGGGACCAAGGAACTCCCTGTGCTCAGGCCCAGGCTGGTTTTGCTCTAAGCAATGGCCTTTGGCCTACCAAGCTCCACCTCTGGGCTTCACTGGGTGTAGACGTTTTTGAGCCATTAGTCCTCCCCTTTCTTGAACACTGACCTCCATCCCCCAAGGGAAGCTGACCAGTGTGCAGTCTTGTGACATGAACGGTGGTAAAACCAGGCTGGTGCCACCCATGGCCTGAGAATGACTGACGGGGGAAGGTCTCAGTGTTCGTCACACTGTGTGCAGTAGAGGCCTAGAGTTTTAAGGAGCAGTCTTGGGAGTCACTGTGGAGATTTAGGGATCAAGGCAGCTGGGACTCTGTCCCTTCTCCCCGTGTCAACAAAGGCAGCTCTGCTCCCATCTGCTTTATTTGTTGGCACTGTGCAGGATGGTGTTTGGAACAGTATTCCACAGAGAGTGTCTGAGCACAGCTGGCCCTGGGGAAAGCTCAGGCATTTGGGAGTGCAGCAGCCTGGGCTCTAGTTCCGGTTCCGCTGCAGTAAGCTCTGTGATTACCCCACCTTCCCTGTGTGAACTTCAGGTTTCTCACTTATCGAGTGTGAGGACCACACCAGATAAAACCTTAGTACTCTATTATGCTCAAAGAGCTCAGGAGTCTCAATAGGGCTTGTGCTCTTGGGTCAGCCCGCCAGAAGTCCAACTTGCCTTCTGCCCTCAGAGATCAGGTCCTTTCAGGGGAGGCTGAGCCAACCAAGCTCTCATTATCTGACCTGTCAGTCATGGGAGGTAGATACCCCAATTTCCCAGATGAGAAAACAGGCTGAGAAGAGTGGCAAGCTGTGCTCTGGTTACACCGCTGGGAGGAGGTGGAGTCAGGCCCAACTCCGGTCTCCTGGGTCCATGTTCCACTCCTCCACCTGCTTTCTGAGGGTCTGCATATCGGAAGCCTGGGTGGTTCCAGCATCACTGTCAAGATCTCAGCTGCTAGACACAAACTTAAGATTATTGAGTCTTAGAATAAAAACATGGTTCATGGACTGGCAACTCTCGGTCACGAGATGCCAGCATTTGGAATTTTGTTGCTGCTACGACAGGCATGAAAAGCCCAAGCTTCACTGATTCGGTATGTTCAGTAGTGAACTGTGTGTGAGTCACGGATGTGAACTGGGAAGGAGGAGGCAGCGGGGCTCTCGGGTCATGTCCACTTCTAACCTGTCTGCCCTCCTGTTTCTCCCTACAAATCTCCTTCTCGCCTCACAGTGGGACGCCTTCTCCATCCCTGAACTTCAGAACTTCCTAACAATCCTGGAAAAAGAGGAGCAGGACAAAATCCAACAAGTGCATAAGAAATATGACAAGTTTAGGCAGAAACTGGAGGAGGCCTTAAGAGAATCCCAGGGCAAACCTGGGTAACCGGTCCTGCTTCCTCTCCTCCCGGTACACTCGGATTTATTTTTATTATTAATTATTATTTTGCAACAGACACTTCTTCTCAGGACACCTCTGGCGGGTGCATTTGTGCCTGCCAAGCAGTTCCAGATGTGGCAAAAGTCTCTTCCATGGACAAGTGTTTGCATGGGGGTTCAGCTGTGCCCGCCCCCAGACTGTGCCCCACCAGACTCTGCCAAGGATCAGAACTTATGTGAAACAAACAGCCAACGTCCTCTCCTGTCTACAAGCCTTTCACCAACCAAATAGCTGCCTCTCTTGTCACCAAACTGGAAGCTCACACCAGCCGGCAAAGGAAGGAAGGTTTTAAAGCGATGTGTTATTTCTCTGGCTTTGATTCTTCTTTGAGTTCTCTTATTTGCCACCTACAGTACCTTTATTTAAAAAGTTGTAGCACATTCCTTCTGCAGGTCTGAGCTAAGCCCCTGAAAACAGGATAATGCTCATAAAAGGACTGTTCCCACGGCCCACGGTGCCTGTTGTTCACACTTAAGGGAAGCTTATAAAGCTACTGGCCCCAGATGCTCAGGGTAAGGAGCCCCAAAGCTGAGGCTGGCTCAGAGATCTCCGGAGAAGCTGCAGCCTGCCCTGGCCCTGGCCCTGGCCCATATTGCACATGGAAACCCAAAGGCATATATCTGTGTATGTGTGGTACTTAGTCACATCTTTGTCAACAAACTGTTTGTTTTTAAGTTACAAATTTGAATTTAATGTTGTCATCATCCTCAAGTGTTTCCCCAAGGGGAAGCCAGCCATTGACCATTTAAAAAGTCTCCTGCTGAGTACAAAAATCAGGCAGTAAGAGAAAGCCAAAAAGTGATGCAGAGAAACGTGTCCAAGCTGTCTTCAGCCTTCCCCCAGCTAGAGAGCAGAGGAGGGCCTGGGCTGCTTGGGTTCTCCCTCGGCCTCCAGCACTGCCTCCCTCCTCCCACTGGGACTCTGGGATCTCCCGGTGCTGCCCAAGGAGTTGCCTTGATTACAAAGAGGGGAGCCTCCAATTCAGCCAACTTGGAGTCCTTTCTGTTTTGAAGCACGGGCCGGCCCCAGCACTGCACGCAGAGAGCTGGTGGGCCTGTCCTCCCCGTCAACCTCAGTGCCTTTTTGTTTTCATAGAGAAACGGGAGCAGAGTGAGTTTGCCTGAAGCTCTGCTGCTGGCTTCTCCTGTCAGGAAGTGGACACCAGACCACATTGACAGGGAGGATCAGATTCCTGACTCTACATTTGTACTGGCTCCTTGTTTAGGCTGAATCCTAAAGTACATTAGCCAAACAATTCCAACAAGTAGCCAGGACTGCAAAGACACGCCAACGCAGAGGGAGAAGGACTTGTAATTTTCAAAGCAGGGCTGGTTTTCCAATCCAGCCCCGAGAAACCATTTCTTGGCTATCCTCTGCCTTCCCAAGTACCTCTTGGGTGGGATCAAGCCCAAGCTTGTTTGTGTAGCTTCAGAAGTTCCCTCCCTGACCCAGGCTGAGTCCATACTGCCCCTAATCCCAGAAGGAATGCTGACCCTCGTCGTATGAACTGTGCATAGTCTCCAGAGCTACAAAGACAACACAAGCTCGAAACTCTAAGATTTTTTTAAACCACAAAAACCCTGGTTAGTCATCTCATGCTCAGCCTTATCACTTCCCGCCCTTAAAAAAACCCCTCTCCCTGCTGTATATTAAAGGGAGCAGGTGGAGAGTCATTTCCCTTCATCCTGCATGTCTCTAACATTAATAGAAGGCATGGCTCCTGCTGCAACCGCTGTGAATGCTGCTGAGAACCTCCCTCTAAGGGGATGGCTATTTTATTTTTGAGAAGGAATAAAAAAAGTTATGTATATAGACACATAAAGGCATATAGCTATATATAAAGAAATAAGGGTGTTTATGAAATGAGAAAGTTATGGGACAATTCAGACTTTATCTAAAGCACAGTTAGACCCAAGGCCTATGCTGAGGTCTAAGCCTCTGAAAAATGTATAGTATAGGGTACCCCTTCCCTCCCAGAAGTGGGAATAATTGCTGGTAGTGCCTTCTCTGGTTGTGTTGCTCAATGTGTAAGTGTTTGTTTCAAGGATATTTTCTTTTTAAATGTCTTTCTTATAGGGGTTTTAAAAAAAAGTAATAAAAGCCTGTTGCAAAAATGACTCATGTTAGAAATGTCTCCCTTGAACTTCACCATCTTGTGGAAATTGGGAGTCGGGGAGAGGGTGAGAACAGAGATGGTCACACGCTTCTTGGTGGAGTCAGATTTTCTTTTGTCAGTGAGCAGAGGAACGAAGGCTACTGTTCAAATCATTTGGAGGAAATTGTCCAAATGCGTAGGCAGGAGGGCGCTCGCTGCCTGGGTGAGCAGCTGTTCCACATCTCCACAGAGCAGGAGAGTCAAGGAGACTGATTACAGGCGGAGATGCTGAGGGTGGGAAAGAGGAAGGCCTTCTGGAACTAAAAGAAATTCGACACCAGGACAGGCTGCTGAGCTGAGCCATGATTCTTCTACTTCTGAAATTATTTAACAATAAGGTAGAAAGGAATAGTTCTTTAAAAATTTAAGATCACTTCACCTGGAGGAAGGGGGTTAGCTCAAACAGTCCTTCACTTGAGGCTTCTCTGACTTTCGTCAAAGGAACATCTCAGTAATCATGGAAATAACCACATTAAAGTTATTAAAAAGAAATTCTTGCCTGCCTTCCAGTACTGATCACACAGAATGCAATAAATGGGGTCCAAAGAATGAATGAATGTCCAACAAACATCCTTAAAATTACCCCAGAATGGGGCACATCTGTAACATTTGTTCATCTAGACCTCCAAGAACTGTATCTTTCAATGATTTTGCCAAAGTCTAAAAATGAAGCCGTTTCTGCTTTTCTGTAAAACGGTTGTGGTTACAGCATAGGATTAATATATTCAAAGTTGTATGTTTCACAGTGATAAAGATTATCTGACTTAGCACATAGGAAAAATAACCTGTTACACAGTCTGACTCTACTCTGCCTTTGAACATGTCCCTATTCTGTTCACAGGGGGAAGGGGAAGATGACTCAATGCAAATGTGTCACTGTTACTGGAAAACCATTCCGTGCACAGATGTGGACAGCACTGTGTCATGGCAGAATTCTGGGTCAAACCACAGTTAAGGGTAGATGTTCATTTTAGACCCAGCCTTACCACTTACTGGCTTTATGTCTTCAGCAGAGATCAACAAGGCAGGACATGACCTTTCTTAGCCTCCACCCCCTCCAAGGTCATGCAAAACAAATCAAGTTTGTGAAAGAACTTTACACAGTGCTACATTTCACTTGTATTCACATAGGACCATAGTTCACTACTGCTATACAGATCATGCGCCCTCAGCTCAGACTCTGGCAGGCCAAAGGCTTTAACAGGATCCTGTTTAGGCTCAATTTCTGGAAATCCCTTTCCTAGTTCATGCCAGTAGAGAGATGATTGGTGAAATTAAGGAGTTTACTCACGAGTAAAAAGGCCTATTCTGGGCCTGATAACAGACAGTAGGAGGCGCCATATACACATTTTCAAACCCATTCCTTTTTTCCTTTTGAAGCCTCAAATGGGCAATTTGTGGATACTGTGGATATTTTTAAGGCTTTCTTATCTCAGTTCGAGAAAAACTCAGAAGAGAAACAAGGAAGTAAATTCAAGTGCAACTGTCTCTTAATGGTAAAACCCAAGAACTCAAGGAATTTAGCCCAGTTCTCCTTCCTATTTTACAAGGAGAGATCCAGTCAGAGAAATGATTCCACAGACTGAGCAGGGGCCAGCGCAGCGGTTCTGTACCTTTCTGGCATCAAGTGATCTCTCTGGGAATTTGACAAAGCATGGTCCATCTCTCAGGAAAATGATCGTACAAAATCTTGGGCACCATTTCAGGGAGTTCATGGATCCTCTAAAGACTTACTAAAGACCTCTTCCATGATCTCCACGTTAAGAATTTGAGGCTGAGGAGGGCATGTGTTGGATGAAACTCTTACTGTAACAAAACTGTCATCTTGGAGTTTTTTCACAAATTTACCAGTTAGCGGCAGTGTCCTAAACTAGAATCACTGTCCTATAGAAACCCATGTCCTAATATGCTTGTACTGTTTCTGATTTCTGTCTAGCCTAAATTGGGCTGCAATTTAGGGTCAATTCTTTCTTATGTTGCTTTAGAGAACAGCTGGGTTCTGTTTTCTATGTGACTAACCCTTCAGAGATGTGAAGGAACTATTTTGGGGCTAGGAAGTTAATTAAGTAGTAGGATATTTAGTAGAAGGTCTTTAAAAACAGGAAGGCTTCACCTGCCCGAACTTTGAATGGGCTGGCCTACTTGAAAAGCAGGGAAGGAATGAAACCACTGAAACCACATGGGCACAAAGGCAGCCAACGCAGCCTCTTCTGTTCATTTAGAATACTCCGACTTAAAAAATTAGTACAACATTTTAGCTAAGTGGAGGAAACAAGAGGGAAGTCAGATTTAGATTAGAATAAAAATTTATTTTTGTAAAGAATTATATTTTGTATGTGCAAAAGCTGAAAATGCTCATAAAAATTACCAGCCCAGAGCTTGGATTTCCACTGGATTCACCACGTGAGACAAAAGAGTCTGTCACTTCTTCTTGCCAGGTTTCGGGGCCTTTTCTAGACCTTGGATGTGTTTTCGAGGGAGCTGATACTCTTCTATAATCCAAAAAGCACACACTCCTCAGTGGAGCACGACCTTGGCCCCCGGCTGGCCCTTCACCAGTTCCGTTTGTCTCACAATGTCATTCCACCCGGCTCAAATTCAACTTTGGGACTAACCACTTATCCTTACACCTCAAGGCTGATGTGTATATTTCTGAAATTTTCACACTGACAGCTACTTTCTGGATGTATTTCAGGCATTTATAATTTTTTTCCATGGGAGAGAACGTGTCTGTTCAGTCATATGCTCCTCTCTCTTCCTCATAACATTTCTTCTCAGTACCTTGTATAGGGTTCTTCACATAAAGGGGCTCAACTCTATAAGTTAACTGCCAGGTACTGACTGCCATAGGCCATGGAATACCTTTGCCTAATTGAGCACTTAATATATGCCAGGGCCTGAGGAAGAAAAAGGCAAGGTTTCTGGCTCAAGCAGCTCAGTGTAAGAGGAAGTTCAGACATTAGAAAAAATTAGCCAAGCTGCAGATATTAACTGGAAATACAAACACAAGTGGAAAATGCTATATTAGCAATGTTTAAAATGCTAATTTAGGGACAGGCTTCCTAGGACCCCTGGGCTAGGCCAGTGGGCCTGTGAGGCCAGGCAGGCTTGCTGTGGGAGGGCATGCTAGGTAAAGGAATAGCCCAGGTGGAAGCACACATGGGTGAACAGGCAAGGAGAATCTGGGGAACTGCAAGGACACCAGAGCGGCTGGTACCTGCAACAGGGGTGTAGGACCTGACAAAGAGAGCCTATAGGGAAGGCTGGAGTAAGGCTGGGGTTGGGCTGGGGTCAGGCTGGGAGGTCTTGCTTACTGAGCCTAGGAGTTAATTCTGAAGAAGCGTATAAAGATTTTTAGAAGGAAGTGATATGATCATATTTGTTTAAGAAAGCTGACTCAGGTAGAGATGTGAAGGCTGGTTTGAAGTGAGGACAAACTGGAGGCTGGGTTACCCAGAGTTAGTAGAAAGAACTTAGGCTTTAGTCTGGGCATGGTGGTTCATGCCTGTAATCCCAACACTTTGGGAGGCCGAGGCAGGTGGATCACCTGAGGTAAGGAGTTCAAGACCGGCCTTGCCAACATAGTGAAACCCCTTATCTACTAAAAATACAAAAATTAGCTGGGCATGGTGGCACATGCCTGTAATCCCAGCTACTCGGGAGGCTGAGGCAAGAGAATCACTGGAACCTGGAAGGCGGAGGCTGCAGTGAGCCAAGACCATACCACTGCCCTCCAGCCTGAGTGACAGAGCACTATTCTGTCTCAAAAAAAAAAAAAAGAACTTAGACTCTGGAGTCTAAAAAAGTTCCATGCCCAGTGGTATCACTCAAGTCAGATGATCTCAGGGCAAGGCACGGAACCTCTCTGAGCCCCAGTTTCCTCAGTTGCAAAACAGATAATAGCTCTGCAGCATCATTATGATTAAAAGAGATGCCTGCAAAAACCCCAACAATGGGCCTAGCACAAAAATGTGGGTGCTCACCAAATGTTTATAAAAAGGGACCAACCAGGAAGAAAACTACTCTAATAGGGAAGAGAATGCATTGAATTTGGAAGGGGCCAAAGGATCTGATTCAAACATTGGTTCCATCTTCTTGCTAGCTGCTAAAAACTAAATGGAGTGTGTGTGTGTGTGTGTGTGTGTGTGTGTGTGTGTGTGTGTGTGTGGTGTATGTATTATGCAAGTAGAGTTGGCAGGAAGGTCTTTGCTGAGCTAGACCAATGCCTCCGGCTCTTCAGAGGGAATGCTCACCAAGCAACAGCCAGCTGAGGTGGTGGACCTGGTTTCCCTGGATCTGCACCTGAAGGCTGTCCTTGGCCCCAGGGGAAGGAGTGACGGTGGTGCTAGCCTGGCATCGCTGCTGAAGGATGGCAGCCACTGAGTATGGGTCCAGACCATAGGCCTCCAAGTTCCGGACCACGGTCACCTGGGGGGACAGTGGGGACATAGACTGACGGTGGTGACTGCATTCCCTTCCCTCCAGAGGGCGTTCCAGAGCCTCAGCAGCCTCCTCCGCCCCTGTGTTCTCTGATGGCTCACCATTCCTATAATAGCACTTTTTTAATCCAAATCACTTATTTATTTTTGTGCCTCTAAATTGATTCTCTCTTTACCCCATCCAATACATGTTATATATTTAGAGGGACAGATACTCTCTGTATCACATAGAATGTCTACTTTCTTTTAAGTTTTTTCATTTCAAGTTTCATTTGAAATTTTTTTCATTTCAATTCTCCCCTTGTTACTTTAAAACAAATTCTTTCTCATTCATGACTACAGATGGTAAAGTGTGTTACTATCAGGTGCATGGGGGATGACTGCTATCAATAAAGATTATAAAAGCTCCAACTAGCCTTATGCTTGTCAATGGGCTCCAGACCCAGAGACTCTTAGAATCAGTAAGACTTTAGAGGTCGTATCTCTTCCAACTGCCCACCTGATGCATGAAGAATTTAAAACA